ATTAATTAGAGACAATTTTCCACAACGACTATGTAAAGGTAAAACTGTGCAAGATAATTAATTGATTAGTAAAATAATCCGCGGGTTTGAAATAAGTGGTCGATGCAAATTCATTAATTAAAACTAATACAACTGACACAAATAGGAATTCAAACTTTTCATGTTTATTTAAATATCAATCTATTTGTTTTAGCTAATTTCCAGGACTTTACAAATTATAAACTGAAGTGCAAAAACAATAAACTAGAACAAATGCGGGAATGAACCCAGAGAGTTTATATCTTTTGTCGAAAAATACAATCGAAATTTTAAATTCACATTTCATTTATTAAATTTATCATTTAAATAGATATGAAACCGATTTCGGTTTTTTGTATTTTCGGTTTACCAAGTAATCAAAACGGTTAAAATTAAAATTTATATAACCGGTTTACTTTTAATTTAAAAAAATTCTAGATTTTAGACATTTGAAAAGTAGTTTCAATCTCAATTTTTAAAGCTTACGATATTTGAAACGTTTGATTTTTAAAGATTTTATATTAAATTACGATTACGTATAATCATTTTCACGATAATTTTTTGAAATCTATATTTTGTTATCATAAGTTTCTTTGCAATTACTTTGAATAATAATTAAAAGTTAAAAAAACATTTAAATCTTGTAACTGTATACTTAGTCTCGCGTCATTAGTATCATTTTGAAACTTCAAGTAGTTTCAAAATAACTTTGAAGATGGAATACATTCCAATTAATAATTCTTTAGATATTTTTGGTTCAATGCTTTATATTGTTCGATTGTTATGTACGTGCAAAAATCAAAATTCTGAATAAAAAAACTATTAAGATCAGAAATAAAATTCCATATATTGTAAAATAACTCATCTCTTCACATACATTGCATATCGTTGTTATTTGTGCATATACGTGCACAATAAATGTGAACCATGAACATCAACATGAAAATCCCAAAGCCGAACAGGTTTCTCTATCAAGTAATTGAAAAGCTTTGGTTCTAACCGCAAGTTTTAATGACATATATGTTTACTTATTAGTTTCATAATGATATAGCTTATGTTTATCCTAATATTTATAAAGTCTTCAGTGCACATGTTTATATACATACTTTTCCTTCCATTGTAGCGATGAAGCGACGCATGT